CCGCAAATTTGATGTATGAGTTTTATAATCAAAGTCATCAAGATAAATAAATGTTTTGTTTGTTTGATATTCTTTTAACGTAAATGTTTCAATATTGTCTTAATATAAATTTAATTATGTTCGAGTTTTAATTAAATATTTCGATTCCCTAGTATAAATAGTGTTAAGGTTCATTTTTTAAGAAAAACAAATAAGGAAAAGTAACGTGGAAAACTCCTAAATATAAGGATTGGGCAAAAGTACCATGAATTAAATTATATGATTAGGTTTGATAGATCAAATAAGGATTGAATCTATAATAAAGTTATTATTGATTTTATGTCTTATAGAATGTAAGATTTTTTACCTAGTTCAAGTAAGAAAATATTTTATAACCTAAATTTTAGTTGATTAAAAATACTAAATGTTAGGAATATACTTTAAATTACAGTTTTGTCCAATATGAAATCTGTTTTTAAAGGATAAAAAAGGCGAACGACATTTCGCTAAGGGCCTTCATGCTTTTAATATAGTATACTAGTTTCTATCTACGTGCTCCACCTCCACAAATATAATGATCGTAAAAGAATAAGATCCTGTTTGGCTCCTTATTTGAAATGGATTCATTAAGTTAATATTATCTCATTGAATTGACAATATAGTTCAATTATAAAAAAGAAAGGCGATTAAGGTATCCAAACGATATATAATCTGATAAAAGTGACTTTGAATTGATTTTTGTTACACTCATGTTACTATCCAAAAAGAATTGGAATTAGAATCAGTTGGCAATGAGTCCTCGCTGTCCAAAAGCTGGCAATTAGAATTTCCTTTGCATTGGTCTCTGTTATATTTACTCGTTGCTCTCCAGTCTCCAATATATATAACAATTAGAACTATCTTAAAAGAATTCTATCAATGAGAATTATAGTAGCGGTGAGTTGTCCAATAACAATTAGAATATCATTCTAAAGGAAATCTCTCAATGAGAATTATGTTGGCGTTAGTCCAAAAATAGTAGAATACTATCCTAAAAAGATTCTACCTATAGAAATTATATATGCTGCTGATGATAGTATAAAATCCCACTTTTGAACTAAATAAATGGACTTATTCATCTTGTACATGAGAAAGATATGTTTGATAATAAACTTTATTATTTAAAAAAAAATTCTCCGCACTACAATTATATCGAATATTACTTAATGAAAGAAATTTTCTGGAGCAACACAATTGTTATTTCTATACTGAGTGTTGTTCGTAGTTTGTTTTACTGAAGACTCGTAGGACAAAAAATGCTTGAATATGAAGATTGTATATTAACTATTTTAACTATATATTGTTAAATTGTATGATCATCTCATCTAAAAGCTAAAGCTATTAGTGAGAACGTACTTTTGTTTACTGAATTATATCTTCAGCACGCCCATCACGTGCGGGTTTGATTCTTTTTTATGAGCCAAGCACGTAAAAATTCTTTTTGATATTGAGTGGCGGTGAGATTCGAACCCAAAACTTCTGCCTGCTCTAATAATATGTTAAAGTGCATGGCAATCTCATCTAAAAGTATAAGTTGTTAGAGAGAACACACTTTTATTTATTTAATTATATCTTCAACATATGTTAGAGTTTCTATGCATATATGTATTTATTACATGAAAAATATTTATTAACTTAATAAGGATACTCCCGTAAATACTAACAACAGTTAAAATTATAGAGTAGTCAAAATACACAAGAATATTCACAACAATATTATACAATTATTACCATGTTTGATAAAGTGTCAACTTTCTAGAATCCATTATTTTGTGGTTATATGGAGCTTCTTTGATTTCAGCAGTGTCATGATATTCCTGCCTCAATGATATTGACATAATTCTATTTTATGGAAAAGCAAAAGTATTATAGATACAACTTACAAATAGCATTCAAACAATCAAAAGGAATTTTTAAGAGTTGAATTATTACTTGCATGTCAGAGTTGGAAGGAGTGATTTTGTCATGGAGAAAGTTGCATGATCAAATCATCAATGTAATGTGCTATCCTTTCAAAGCTTCTCTTAGTAATGTCGGGAGTTCAAATTGGACAAAGGCTGAAGAGTATGATCTTTCAGATACAGTCATCCGCTCTTATCGTGGGAGATTGAATGACCTACTAAACATAATCTTAAATCTCTAGGTCATCTCCTACTAAAACTATAAGGTTTGCATAATCAGACCAAATGTTATAGATATAGATATAGATAGATAGATATAGATAAAAGACGCAGAACAAAATGTTGTTAAGATCGCATTGATGAGCGATCCGGAAAAAACCATCAAGCATGAGGGCTTCTCCCATAAGGTTTGTTATTTTTCAAGATATGACATTTAACTCCAACGACCAATTATTCCAAATCCGTTACTTATACCAGATTTATATTGTCTCGAAAAAGAGAAAAAAAAGAAGGTAAAGCTACTTATTAATTTGGAGGAACCTCTCGTGGCGGCAGTAATAGGGATAGCAATGAAGACGGATAAAGTGGATATGGCAGTGACGATGACAGTGGTAACAATAGTAATGGGTGTGTGCAGTGGCTACCAAGGAAGACATCAAGAGACTTGAAGTTCTCATATATCGTCTTCATTTTGATATTAGAATATCCAACAATATTAAGATAGATGATGCTTCTTTCCCACTTCGACTAGTTTGTCTTTTTCCAATGGAAAAGGTTCAAAATTGCCCCTCGACTATAGGACAGGTTTACCCTAGGTTAGAAGTTGATATCATTTGTGCCCCTGTCGTGACCTAAAGGGGTCATTTCTACCCTCCTTCACTAGCAGACACAATTTTTGAATTTTTTATTTCAAGAAAAGATATTTTTCTCTTTTTCAAAATCCACCAGGCACAACCCGCTCCCGTCCCCGCCCTCACCCCATTTTTTTTTTGCCCTTGAACAATACGAAATGGGACAATTATACCCCTCCCCAGACCCTTATTTTAGTTTTTTTTTATAATTTTTTTTTCCTCTTCATAAAAAGTTTACCAAAGAGGCCCTATATACCAAGAAATCATTTTTTAACTTCCACTAGTGTTATGTATGGAGTTTTCTTTTGAGTTACTTTCTTTCTATAAAAATCAAGAGAAAAAATGTCAATCAATAGAAAATAAGTCAAAGCATGCATGGTGTAAGTACAATTTTACTAGAGGTTCACTTGAATATGAAAGTTTCATGATAGTGTACTATATTTGTACATTTGTAGGTGGATGTAAGTGTATTTTTATTATCATGTGTTATTTTATTTGAAAAACTTTTCTGTGATCTTTAGGAGGTTTTGGGTGAGGTTCTTTGATGGAGGTTGAAAGAAGGGGAAGACGAAAGAGAAAGACAATGAAGGGGAGAAAAATAAAAAACACAATTAAAATAAGGGATCGGGGAGGGGTATAATTGTCCTATTTCAAATCTAGGAAAAAAAAAGGGAAGGGGGGGGGGGGGAGGGGGGAGGAGGGAGGGGCGTGTCAGGTGGATTTTAAAAAGAGAAAAAAAATTGAGATAAAAAAAATAAAATTGCGTCCGTTTAACGAAGGAGGATAGAAATGACCCCCTTAGGTCACGACAGGGGCACAAATGATGCCAACTTTTAACGGAGGGTAAACTTGTCCTATTTCGGACAGTCGACCCCCTTAGGTCACTACAGGGGCACAAATGATGCCAACTTTTAACGGAGGGTAAACTTGTCCTATTTCGGACAGTCGAGGGGCAGTTTTGAACCGTTTCCGTTTTTTCTTTAATTTTTTTTTTGTACTAGCATAAATTTATGTTTAATTTCTTAGTTTTTCCCTGTAATGACTTAGTATGGGTCATTTATCTTTAAATTTTTTATGTTTCGAATTTATTATTGTTGTTCTATGTCTTTTATATTATTTTTAATATTTTTAACGAATGAGAACCTTTCCACATATCTTTTAAATTTAACTGTTTTAAATTTAAGTGGGCTTTAAAAGAAGAACTTGATAAACTTGTTGACTAGGTTGTATTTATTTATTCATTAAATATAATATTCATCCAAATACGAGAGATCCACAAAGAATATAATATTCAGCCAAAACAGAGATCAATCGATACAATACTAATATTCAATTACTATATAGAGAAGCTCACCCGAAAATTGTTCTCGGCGAGAACACAAGTATGTCAAAAAGTCGTAAGTTCGTAAGAATATACAAAGAACTAGATAGTAGTTACGCAACCATAGAATCAGTAGAACCTCCTTCATCATTGCTAGCATTGGTTATCTGAAAACTCAACTGGTGTGGGGTTGGGTCGTCAAGACCATTATCCAACTGGTGCTCTTCAAGGTGAAGAGACCATCAGAAAACAGAATGGCATATAGCACACTAAAAGAAGCTTTTCTTATGAACGTCTTGGTTATGACTATTGATGGGATTAAGGGAGCCAAATTCTCTCCTTAATAGGGATAACACACAAAAATCTCAGCTGATGGTAGTAGTGGAAAGAGAATTTTAGGTAGTGCTGGATGAGGAATTTCAGGCGGTTGTGGTGAACTATTTGAGCTGGTGGCGGAGGAATAATTAGACAAGCTTGAACTGGTGGTAGGGGAATAGTTTGAGCTGGAGGTGAGCTATTTGTGACTATTCATAATCATCTAGTTAGACAAGCATACAACGCAAGCAACTCCGACATCACAAAGAAAAAATAAAGGGTAAAAGATTATTCAATATTTAATTTGGCTCTGATACTGGTAAAATCTAAATATTCTACACGAGCCTTAAATAAGTAGTCCAAAAGCTATCATGCATCTCTTTGAAAAATCTTATATAATAATACACTTGTTATAAAAATAAAATAAAAATAATAAAACAAAGAGATTGACAAGAATACGAAAGAAAGAGAGATGAATCCTTATTATATCTTCAAGTGTGTCATAAGAAAAAGTTAGAACACATAGTTGAAAAAACTCTTTCTTCCAAGATGCTCTATGCGCACATTAGTTAAACGTACGCCGAGCTCGTAACCATGGCGAGAGGAAGAGGTAGAGGAAGGGGAAGACCTCGGAAATATCCATTAGCAGCACTAGAAGCGTTATTAACTACGAATCAACCATTAATAGAGAAAAATCCTCCATTAACCACTCCACCAGCTTCACTTCAGAGTTCAGCTCAAAATTCAGATCTCAGTAAAGGAACATCTGCATGTGCAATTGGAACAACTTCAAGCCAATCAAACGTAGCTAAGAAGCTAGATTTGACGATTACATCTCCTAAAGAAGTAGTTTCAGCAGGGATGGATGTGCAATCCAATAGAACAGTAATTACACAGATTCCAATCCAGATACAGAGTGACCTAGCTGATAAAGAGGATGTTCCGGTAATGAGGAATGATCAAAAAGAAAATGCTAAGGCCCCATGGACAACACTCTTCCAGAAGAACAGATTTGCTTCTAATGGTATGTCACTCTCATACATACCACCATTGTTAGTAGATGGTGAACCTGTGGTCCAATTAGACAAGGTAGAGGTGGAAGAAGAATCTAAATGGAAATGTGCTTTGATAGCATATATCTTAGGAGATGGACTGGGGTATAATGCGATGAAAAGATATATTAGTATTCACTGGTCTCATGTTCCAGAACCTGACCTATTTTACCATGAGGAAGGCTACTATATAATCAGGTTTAAGAATATGGATGATGCTCATAAAATCCTTTGCCCTGGACCTTATTCCATAGCTATTAAACCTATCATTCTAAAGCCATGGACCTTGGATTTTGATTTTACAGAGGAATTTCCTACTTCCACTCCTTTGTGGGCTAAATTCTCTAAATTGCCTATGTCATGTTGGGGTGTGGGATCCTTAAGCAGAATAGCAAGTGTGATTGGGAAGCCTATATTTACTGATGAATGTACAATAAAACAAACTAGAATCTCATATGCAGGATGCTTATTGAGGTTAATGTTACTAAGGAACTACCAAGTGAAGTGTGGGTGATGGAACCAAATGGGAAAAAGTTCCTACAGAGAGTAACATATGACTGAAAACCTACTTACTGTGAGAAGTGCTTAATAGTGGGACACAGATGCTCAACTCAGATCAAGACTGGTATTCAAGTGCCTCCTAAGAAGGGTAGAGTTACTCAAGAGTGGAGAACTAAAGTACCAGCTCCTGCTAACCAAGTAGAGTCTGCGCAGATTCAAAAGCAGGAAGGCCAACAAGATACTAGTACCAAGATAAATGAAATTCAGCAGACTAAGGAGAAGACTCAGCCAAAGGACGATCATAATAATGTAGGAAAGGAAGATAAAGGGAAAGCAATACAGAGTCCAGAGCTGAACATTGTAAACTTTCCTCCATTAACACCTATTCCTGTTAGCAATCGATTTGAGCCAGTGTCTAATAGCAAGCATGACATTCCACCTAGTGATAAAGGTGGAACAAGTAATCAATGATGAAGTGGTTATTCTGGAACATCAGGGGTGTAAAAGATATAAGTAAAAGGAAGTTAGAGAATATATTAGAAGTAATAAAATAAAGTTGGTAGGACTAGTGGAAACCAAAGTTAAAGAAGAAAATGCTCAAAAAATATCAAGGTATATTACATCTGGCTGGGATATATTGACTAACTACAGAGAAGCTAAGAATGGTAGAGTGTGGCTGTTATGGGACACTAATTACCTCATGGTTACTAGAGTCAAAGATGACCCTCAAATGATCCACTCTCTAGTACAAAGTAGAAAGGGGGATATTAAATGTTATCTGACTGTTGTCTATGGATTTAATGGGCTGGAACAAAGAAGAGAATTGTGGAAGAATCTTCAACAAATTGCTACAACTATTATTGGCCCATGGTTAGTAGCAAGTGATTTTAATGATGTGTTGTATGCTAGTGATCGACTGTCTTGTATCCCAGTTAGCTTTGCAGAAACTCAGGACTTCAGCTCATGTCTGCAGCAAACAACTTTATTTGAACTACCTTGGCAGGGTGAATATTACATTTGGACAAACAGGCAACCTGGAGTTGATAAGGTTAGTAGCAGAATTAATAGAGTTTTTGGGAATTATGAATGGATGATGAACTTGAATCATGTGGAGACAATTTATGATCTTCCTCAAATATCAGATCATGCCCCTATGATGTTAACTCTAGCAAGCTCATTTTGGACTGGGAAAGTACCATTTCGATTCTTCAATGCATGGACTAATCACTAGGAATTTACTCAAATAGTGACTGAAGTGTGGAATACAAAGAACTCTACTGGTACTATAAAATCTGTATGGTATGCATTGAAGGCATTGAAAGCTCCCTTAAAAGCTTTGGCTGTTAAGGAGTTTAAAGGAATTAATCTGAGAATTGAAGCAGCTAGAATGGACCTTAAAGATATACAAGAACAACTCTCCAACAAGTACTCAGACAGTCTGTTGAAAAGGGAGAAGGAGACTCTACTTAACTTAGAGAACTGGTCTATGATTGAAGAGAATATCCTGAAGCAGAAGGCAAGAGCTAAATGGATCCAACTAGGAGATGCTAATACCAAATATTTTACAGCTGTTGTGAAAGATATATCACAAAGGAAACAGATCAATGAAATCACTACAAGATGTGGAGATAGAGTTACTGATCCTGAAGGCATTAAAGAAGAGATATTGGATTTCTACAAGTCTCTTATGGGCTCAACAGCAAGATCACTTCAAGCCATAAACAGAATGTACATGTCCAATGGTCCCAGATTAACTCAACAACAAAGAAGAGATCTATGTGCAGATATTACTGATCAGGAAATTCTGGAGAGCCTCAAAGCTATTGGAGATGATAAGGCACCTGGTATTGATGGCTACAATGCTGTCTTCTTCAAGAAATCATGGAGCATTATCAGTAAGCAAGTTACAGATGCTATTAGGGAATTCTTCCTAATTTCTAAGATGTATAAGCCAATCAACTGCTCCACCATCACTCTAGTTCCTAAAGTTGCTAAACCTACTACAATCAAAGAATATAGGCCAATTGCATGTTGTACAGTGTTATATAAAATGATCTCAAAGGTTCTAGCTGCTAGACTTCAAAAGATCATGGCATATATAATCTCTGAATCTCAAGCTGGTTTTGTTCCTGGTAGGAAAATTGCAGATAATGTCATTTTGGCCCATGAATTAGTAAAGTCATATACTAGCGCCCAAATTTCTCCCAGGTGCATGATTAAAATAGACCTCCAAAAGGCTTATGACTCAGTGGAATGGATATTTTTACAACAGGTGATGGAAGAGATTGGTTTTCCTGACAAATTTATAAAGTGGATCATGGAATGTATCAAAACAGTTAGCTACACTGTGCTTATTAATGGAGAAACTACTAAACCTTTTGAAGCTGCTAAGGGTCTTAGACAAGGAGACCCTATCTCACCTTTCTTGTTTGCTATTGTTATGGAGTACTTGAGCAGATCATTCATTGAAATAGGAAAGGACATGCTGTTTCAATATCATCCCAGGTGCAAAAAATTGGGCATAACTCACCTGAGTTTTGCTGATGATCTTCTTCTTTTTTCCATAGGTGATCTTACTTCTATTTCCACCCTGTACCAATACTTCTCTCAGTTCTCAAAGGCATCTGGATTACAAGCTAATATGAGTAAAAGCTCAGTGTATTTTGGGGGAGTGAATCAGGATGTTAAGCAGCAAAATTTGAACTATCTTGGATTTGTACAAGGGGAGTTGCCTTTTAAATACTTAGGCATTCCTTTGTCTTCCAAGAAAATTGCATTGATCCGATGGCAGCCCTTAATTGATAGAATCACAGGAAAGATTTCATCTTAGACTGCAAAAAAGCTCTCTTATGCTGGTCGAATACAGTTAGTCAAATCTGTCATTTTTGGTATTCAAGCATATTGGGCTCAGCTGTTTATTCTACCTACTAAAGTGTTAAAGATGATAGATGTTATGTGTAGTACATATGGTCAGGTAGTAATACTATTACCAGAAAGAGCTATGTGGCATGGGACAAAATGTGTACTCCAAAATCGACTGGAGGTATGAATATCATTAATCTGATGCTCTGGAACAAGGCTGCAATTGCTAAAGTCTGCTGGGATTTAGCTCATAAAGAAGACAAGCTGTGGATTAGGTGGATCAATGCCTACTATATCAAGCATCAACAGATTCAGACCATGCCTATCCCAAAGCAAGCTAATTGGATGGTCCGAAGAATAATAGCTTCCAGAGATGTCCTGCAACAAATTCAATGCACAGGGGATGACAAAGAGACTATCAGACATACCTATCTACAACTACTGGGAGACTTACCAAGAGTGAATTGGAAGAGCTTAGTATTTTAGAATTCTGCTCGACCAAAGGCTATTTTTAGTCTATGGTTAATGTTACATGGGAGATTACCTACCAAGGATAGAGTAGCAAGCTGGGGAATGAACATTGATCAAAGTTGTGTATTATGCCAGGGACAATTAGAAACAAGAGATCATTTGTTTTTACATTGTTCTTATACAACAGAATTATGGAGTAGAATATGGAAATGGATTCAGGAAGATAAAAGGAACTACAACAATTGGCAACATCATCTTCAATGGATCATCAAGAAAGCAAAAGGAAAATCTAACCAGGCCAACATCTTCAGATTGGTATTCACAGAAGCATCATATGCATTATGGCTGGAAAGAAATAATCGTATCTTTGAAAAAAGATATCGTCATTGTGAAAGTATAGTTCGAGAGATAGCCTATATTTGTAATGTTAGAGTTGAGCCTAAAGCTAGAATCCAATTACAGAAATACTTATTAGTATAGAGAGTAGTAGCTTGTACAGTCCTTTTGAGTAGATTAATGTATAGTGATTTAGTTGAGATAGGCAGCAGAGTATGATGCTGACTATAGTTTTGTAATGATCTCACTTTGATGATTAATACAAAGAAAGTTAATTACCAAAAAAAAGAAAAAGTTAGAACACCTTTTATAAGATGAAAAATTATCTATGAGTCACAATATTATTTTATATAAGGTGCATGCATAAGTAAATCGGATCAAATAATTGTGTGACCCATTACAAACTTATTTTTAGTTTTATAATCTCCTCTCTTTTTTACACACGAAAAATTTATTTTTACCCATAAGAGATCTATCTTTTACATAAGAGATCTATAAAAGATACTTTCTTAATTTCAATATTGTAAAAAACATGAAAGCCTATTTCCTCAAATAAATCATTTATTGAATGGACAACCATAATATATTAAATTTAACAAAGTGCTACACTACATTATATTATTATCAATTAAGATCATTTGACAAAAAATATTGTACTATTATTTTATTCACCAATATCAAGTTGGATATGAACTCAGTTGCAAAAGTTTTTTGTTAACAAACAATTATTGTTGAAATTTCTGTCAAGCGTCACTAATAGAACAATTTTTTGAATCGAAAATTTTAGATTGTTCAAACAGAAAAAATCTCATCTGAAGGACCAGGAAAAAAAGAGAGGACATATGATAGAGATATTAAACTCAAACTTATTTTATGAGAGACTCTGACAAATATCACATGTATATTGTTTTTTCAAAATAAAATGGGGATATTTTTAAAAATAGCCAGATTTACAACTGGTCGTTCAAAAATAGCCCAATTTCAAAAGTAATCGGAATTTAGCCACTTTTTATGTAAAGATAAATCTGAGCGAAAACACTGTTCAAAACCCGAAAAATACTCCAGTATATTAAGCTGGAGTTCCAGCATAAGTATACTTGAACTCCAGCATATTATACTGGAGTTTCAGGATAGTATGCTGGAACTCCAGCATAATATGATGGAGTTCCAGCATAAATACACTAGAACTCCAGCATAATATACTGGAGTTCCAGCAAGTATAATGGTCCAGTATAATATACTGGAGTTTGGAGCACCAGTGCTCCAGTCTCCAGTATATTATATTGGAGCCAACAAAGTATACCGGCCCAGCATAATATGCTGGAGTTCATACACAAGTGCACCGAACTCAAGTATATTATGCTGGACCGGTCTTTATTGCAGCAAAACGGTGGCTATTTTTCATTGACTTGGTAAACGCTGGCTATTTTTGATTGACCAGTCCGAAAACCAGCTATACCGTGAAATTTTGGCAATAAAATGCCTTAAATTCAATGGGAAACAGTTTGGGCGGAAAGGACACCAGGTAGCCACTTTTAAGTATATTGTTTAAAATATATCCACAATTTACAATGTATTTAAAAATTAGGCAAGTTTGCTCAAACTTCAGGACACGGCGTGCTAGAGTTTAAACCTCAAAGTTCAAACTTCAGGACATCGTGTCCTAAAGTTCAAAAATTATGTCCAAAATTTCGAATCTTATGTCCTGAGTTTTAAATTAGTAATTTAGAAATTCAGGACACTTAGTCCTAATCAAATTAGCAGCTCAAAAATTCAGGACAATATATTGTAAATTCAGGATACTTAGAGCTTGTTTGGCCAAGTTTCTGGGAGGCCAAAAGTACTTTTTTTCCCCTCAAAAAAGTACTTTTTTAAAATTGAAGTTGTTTGGCCAAGACAGAGAAGTACTTTTGGCCAGCAGCAGAATCAATTTTTCTGCTTTTGGTAAGAAGTAGAAAATTCTAGCTTCTCCAAGAAGCAGAAGCAGAAACAAAAATTAATTCATTCAAGATAAAACTATCCTCACTATAAATTTATATTTTCAAATTATTCCTTATTGATTTAAGTTGTTTTGTTTCTAGTTTTTGCCATTCTTTTACATTTAAAGATATCATATCCATGAATCATACTGTAACTTTCCAAAATTTTTATTGACTTTTTTTTATTTTTTTTATTTTTTCTTTGTGTAATATCTTGTAACTTTCCAAATTATCTTTATCTTTCTCACACTAAAGCAAAATATTTACATCCTTCTTTGGATTATCAATTCTCTTCCTACAAATAGTCATTTATAATTTCTTCTCTTATAGGGTATTAACTCCTGATCTTTAAAACTATTATCAAGTCTAGTTTGTGAAAATTACCTACAAATAGGTAATAAATTTCTAGTTGTATCGCATAATCTATATATTATTAAAATAAGAAGAAAAATCCTCCGCACTAAGCCAAATGATAGCCTCGCAATAGGCCACTTGACAATTCTGGACAAAGTTAGTTAGGGTAGGTGATAATTAGTTTCTTTTTAAATTTAAATTTAAAAAAAATTAAATTATGCATTATGTGTTGTTAATAATTAGTTACTCTTTTTAAATTTGAATTTAAACATACTTAACTATTATTTTTTTACGAAAAATAATATTTTTTTATATATTTAAAATTATTTCTATTTTATGCTCAATGCCATATTTCAAGTTTGACACTCGGAATTATCTTGTTACAACTACCATAGTTATACAAAACTTTATCCGACGAAATTCTTCTACCGATAAGGAATTCAGCTATTATGCTAATGAAGACATTACTGTAGATATTGAGGAAGGAGATAGGCCTTCTGGTATTCCTTTAGAAATGCAAGGCAAGTCTTTACTAATATAGAGGCGTTGTGTGACAGAATTAAAGATGAAATGTTATCATGTGTGAGTGACTTTACTTATTATTTCATGGTTGATTATCAATACATAGTAATTTATGGAATAGACTTCTAATTCATACTGAATGACGTATCTTGATTACTCAAATCATCATGTAAACAATAAGTAATTATACTAGATAACATTATATGCTTTGGTACAATTATATATGTTATATTGATTTAAATCTTTAATATGTATGTTTACTTTATATTTATATTTTAATAAAATCCAAAATCAAAGATAACAAAAGTCTTTTACGATAAATATTTAAGTACATTTTTCTCTTTAAAATAATTATAAGATTTTGATACTAAACTTTTTGGTAATTTGACACTCAAAAGTACTTTTTAGAAAGACCGGCCAAACACAATTTGTTTACCAAATGTTGAAAAAAAGTACTTCTTAAATGAATTGGCCAAACACAATTTTTTTTTCTTCAAAAGTACTTTTGGATAAAGCACTTCTATAAAAAAGTACTTTTCAAAATAAACAGTTTTTGGCAGCTTTGCCAATCGGACTCTTAGTCTTGAAATTTACTGAATTGGTTAATCTTTAAATATATTATAAATTGTAAATATATTTTAAATAACGGGCTTAAAAGTTACTATTGTTGCACTTCGCCCCCAGTTTGGGCCTCGATTTGTAGAAGATGCCGGGCCTTGCCCCAAATGTAGATCCGCCCGGTACATCAGCTACTCCCAACTTTAGCCCTTAAACATCCGATTCTGATCGCAACATCCGCGATTACTATAGCAGAAGTTCAGAGGAAGAGGAACAAGAGTTTGCTCCAATGGCGTCAGGATGGGGAATAACAGGGAACAAAGGGCGATGCTATGATTTCTGGATGGACTTCAGTGAGTGTATGTCTCGATGCAGGGAACCCAAAGACTGTTCCCTTCTTAGAGAAGACTACTTCGAGTGCCTTCATCATTCAAAAGAGGTACATTTCCAGTTGTTCCCACTTTTATTTTTTTCGATTCGATTCCGATCTTTTAGGTACTTTCACTTTTTATTAAATCGCCCTTCTCCTGAAGATTTAAATTAGTCAGTGGTTCCTTGTACCGTGAATAATTCTTCCTGTGCCGTGTTTTAGGATTGTTAGGGTTTTAGAAATTTGATATCTTAAGAGCTGAATTGGTGCATAAATATTTGTTAGAGTTATGGATTTTGTCATTTCCTCCGTCAACGTTAGATGCATGTTATAAGCTGAATTTGGTGGGTGCTTGGGATATCAAATACAGTAATAAATGCCGTATAGAATATGTATGAAGGCGCAGTTACACGTGTGAGAACTGTAGAATGAGACATAGAGGAGTTATGTATAACCATGTGTTTACACGAGAAATCTGTCTTGAGATCTTACTTGTTTGCTCTAGTTATGGATGAGTTAGCCAATAGTATACAAGATGAGGTTCCATCTATCTTCATATGACATTTCATTAATTGACGAAGCAAGCGACAATGTTAATTGATTGCGGGAACTGTGGAGAAGCACTCTGGAAAGTAGGTTTGTGGAAGTAAAATAGAATTAAGAATATATGCAGGCAACACTGAAAGTTCAACCTCCATAAGAAGAACAATGTTATAGTGGGATTGGATGAGATTGTGATTCCTAATACATAAGAATGACATGATAGATGAAGATGTAGGACATATAATGAAAATAGGATGGTTAATGAGGAGGAGATGCTACGTGATTGCTATGTGATAAAAGGACACCTAAAAAGTCAAGGGGGAACTTCTATAGAACGATTGTGGGACCAAAAATATTACTTCATATATGGTAAGATAGATATAAGATGGCTGCCCGATCCCAATGTACTAAGCTCCCGCTATGCGCGGGGTCCAGAGAAGGCCGGACCACATGAGGTCTTATGTACGCAACCTTACTTTGCATTTTTGTAAGAGGCTTTCTCCTCATATGGTAAAATAGATATGCTGTTACAAAATTGGTCAACATTAGAAACGACACATTAGAAGGATAGTTTTAGTGCTACTCATTGACAAAACAAGGAAAGCTAAAAAAATGATACATTAGAAAGATAGGATTTTAGAAACTTGATATGGTATAAGCTGAATTGGTGAATTAATATTTAGTAGAATTTCATTATCATGTATGTTATAAGCTGAATTGGTGAATAAATATTTAGTA